CGAGGGCGGCGGCAGCCCCAGCCTGGTCGGAGCACTCGGATGCGGGGAGACCCGTCGAGCCCGGAGCGATGGGAGAGTGGACCATTTTGGAAAGGCTGCTGGAAGCTGCGGTGCAACAGCATTCGACGATGATAGGGAGGTGGGTGCCACTCGCCGCGCGCCCCCACCCCCCGGAGCCTGGCCCCGCCGGCAGCCGCTGCGGAGCAGGACGGAGAGCGAGGCTCGTCCCCTGCGGGGCGCGGACCGGGGAGCAGCCGGCGCCGCGCGCGCGGAGATCCCCGTCCCCTCGCTCGCTCGCGTCCCTCTCACCGGGCGAGCCTCGCAGCGGCGGGACCGGAGCCCCTCCGGTGGCTCCCCGGCCGCCTTCCCGTTCGCGGCGCTGCGACAAAGGTCCCGGGCCCCGCGGACCTCGGGCGCGGCACCCCCCGGCCGCCTGCCCACGTGAGCCTCCTCGCCGCTGCCCCGCCCCCGCGCTCGGGCTGCCTGCTTTCCTGAATGGACCCCCGCCCGCCGCTCCTTACAAACGGGGTGCCTGCCGGGGACAGCCCTGGAGAGACACGTGCGCGCACGGACTTTGGCGCAGGTGTGAGTCGGCGCGCACTCCTTCCCCGCGTGCCAGGGCCCCAGAGCTGCTTGGATCCCGTCCCAGCCCCGCGCGGCGAGCCCCAGGCCCTGGGACGAGCGCCCGGCCCCGCGGGGGACGCTCCGCACGGCCCTTTCCCGGGCACCCCTCCGTGGAGCGGGGCCCCTGCCCTCGGCCGGGGGTCTCAGCCTGGCAGCACCCGACCTTGTGCCCGCAAGTAGCCAGGAGCCGTGCAGCCCCCTCAGGGCCGGCTTGGCCTGCAGCCCCCACCTGGCCGGGATGGCCAGCAGCTGGCCTGACCTCACCCGACGCTTGCCCATGGCGGGCGGGCAGGCGAGGGGACCCCCTGAAGATGATAAGGGGCCGATGAAGAGGCCTGGAGCCATGGATGAAGGTGGAACTAGACCCCTCAGCTGCACCGCCCGGAACACAGTGTTGGGGGAGGACAGGCAGCCACAAAACCTGTGGCTGTGCTCGTTTTCGCTGCCCCAGGCCAGAACAGGCGTTTTTACAAGGCGGCCTTCCTCAGCGTGGCACCCTTGCAGGCATGGCTGGGGGATGCTGGGAACTGTAATCCAACACATCTGGGGGGCACTCCACTGGGGAAGGCTGTGAGGGGCTGTCACGGTCGGTCAGCCACCTCTTGGAGTCTCCCCTCCCGCTTTGCGGGAGCTTGTCTCCCAGCCTGTTCGTTTAGGTGTGCTGGGCCAGTGGAGAGAGGCCCCCCGGGAGACGGGAAAGGGGCTTGCTCTCTCTTTCCAGCTGGGGGCCAGGAGTGGTGGTCACGGGGCGTAGAGGAGAAAGAATGAAAATGAGGGGTGATCCCTGCTCTTCTTAGGTGAGGGAAGGTGTCTTGAATTGCATTAAAAAAAGTCACCCAGGGCCATGTGGGATCCAGCACACTTCCATTTGGGGTCCAGAGCAGCCTGCAAGGGACCTGAGCTCAGCTTTCGGGGGGAACCAGCACCAAGAGTGATGCGAACGTCGTCTGGAGAAGGACGACAGAGCCTAGCTTGGACTATGTAGGACAGCAGCACGAGCTTAAAAAAGGAGGTAATTAACCAGAGGGGCAAGCATCTTGAGCAGGTATTGAATGGCCCCCACAACTTCGTAACTCCAGCAGACCCGCTTTGCAAGCCTGTTTAGTGTCTTCCCAGTCAGAGCGCACGTCTCAGATATATTTGAGTCCCCTCATTTTTTTGGGAATTGAGCAGGGAGTCCAACCAAAGGGCAGAACAAAGGAATCGGGCTGGCATACACAGTCAGTGCTCTGGGAGGTAGAAGCTCATCTCCTCCAGCAGCTTTCAGGAGCCCTGATCTGGGGCTGCCTCGAGAAGTTGCTCTGCCTCCCCCTACTGCCTGACCCACTCATCTGCCCCCCCCCCCACACTACTGCCTTCTTTGGTCCATCTTTCATCATTCCCTGCCTGCCAGGTGGGGCAGGGGCACAGCATCGGTGTGTTTGAGAGAAACGGCCTGGGAACGATCAGGCGGTGTGGCTTTGGGGAGTGGTCAGGGAAGGCCTGACTTGACGGGGGGGGGGGGGGAGGGGGGGGGGGGGCCGCGGAGGAGGGGGCGGCGGCCGGGGGGGGGGGGGGGGGGGGGGGGAGGCTGGGGGGGGGGAGGGAAGGTGACGCCAGAGTGGCTACTGTTTGGGGCACGGGCTCTGCCAGGCCAGCTCACTCAGGGTGTTCTCCCTGTGCAGCATCCTGCCTCCCACGGAGCCCCCCCGAGGTGCTGCACAGGAGGCCACTGGGCTGCCAGGCAGTGGCCTTGTCTGGAGCGGCACCCTTCCAGCACCTCCTGTTCACATCCCTGGCCCAGGCATCCACGCCTGGCACGCTCACGCCCCGCGGGGCAAGGCCTGGTTCCACCTCCTGCCTGCGCCCCCATTTAATCCTGTTCGCTGCAGCCCCGCACGCCAAGCGGGGCTGCCTCGAGTGCCTCTGGGACCCCACCATGCCTCTGCTTAGGGTTGCTGGAGGAAATGGACCCCGCTGTTGGATGGATGCCAGGGCAGCACCCCATTGAGCGACCAGGACTCCCTGCCAGGGAGGGGGACCACCGGGGGACCTTCCCCATCCCCTCCTCCATCCCGGAACCTGCTCCTCTCCAGCCTTATTTTTCCTGTCTTCCTCAATTGTCCCGCACGCTTTGAAACCCGATACACCATACACTGAAGATCTGCCGTCCTAGACAACTCCGTTGGCTTGCGTTTTCTGCCTGCTCCCTGTGGAATACCACCTTCTTTCTGGATAGACACGCGCTCTCCCATCTCTCCCCACTTTTAAACAGTTCCAGAAGAAAAACCACAACTAATCCCATATTCCTCTCCCCAAACTCCCATTTTGCTAAAGCTAATGCAGCATTGTCATTCAAGCACTAGAATTTTGCCTTTCCCAAGCGGTGCCCTCCAGCCGTGCTGGACTGCAAATTCCATCAGCCCCAGCCAACTGTGCTGTTGCCCAACGCATGTGGAGGGTGCCTGGTTAGGGAAGGCTGGGAGACACAAGAAGTCCTTTCCCCAACTCGCTTGGGGTGCACTGAGAGAGAGAAAGAAATGGTAAGCCATGGGGGTCAAAAGGCTGGGAAATGTAGTATGTCCAGCTTAGCTGTTCGCAAGATAAACATGGCAACCATTCGCAACAGCACTAATTTGCAATAAATGCACTGTGCAAGATGATCAAACAGACAGATAAATCCTAGTTGGGCCATTTCTGGCGGGAGGCACAATTTCTTGTTGCAGGAGGTGGCAAACAATGGCTTTGAGGTTAGATGGAGAGTGGGGTTTGTAACGCGCGAGAGCAGGGTGCAAGAAAAGCGGTATAGCAACAACGCTTTTATTTTCTCCAAAATCCCTGCAAAAGATGGCACGGGAGAGCGGGATGAGCAAACCGCCATTTCTGTGGGGTGCAAGGACCCTCGCTCTCCTCTCTCCACCCAGCTCATGAGGTTCAGACCAAGAAGCCTTCCAGGCAAAACACCAGGCTGTTCGTGCACAAGAACACCCCCCCCCCCCAGCACCAGCCCACACAACCTCTTTCTGGTGTGAAATGAATGCTAGAAACAGAGGGGAGGGAAAAGGGAACAGAGATTCTGGTATCCTGAAGTGTGCCCTGGAAAGATGCCTTGGGCTGTTGCTGGCCCAGGGAGCTCTCGCCCCGATTTCCAACCTGTTAAGCCCCCCCCCCCCAAATTCTTGAAGCAGGAGATGCAAGTTTCTGAGACTTAAAGCTGAGGCTGGGCATGGATACCCGCTGCACTGTTTCTGAAAGGAGAGGGAAGCACAGGGCAGTGTCTCGGGCTGATTCGCACGACCCAGGCCTAAGGCTGAGACACTCTGCATGTCCTCAGAGGCACTTTAGAAAAAGAGGACCGTCTGGGTCCAACCCTGTCTCTGATTTAAGGCATGGGAACACCCTTCTCCTGCTCTCAGAAAAACTGGTCCCACTCTTGCCTGTTTCACAACATACATGGGTGGTTATGCTCACCTGCAGATTTTAGGTTGTTTTTGTCAACCAACCTGACAGCAGGATCCAGGCAGGCCGAGATGCCCCCACGCTTGAGACTGCAGCTGCCCTAGCGCTCTCACCTGTCGACTAACGATTCGTAAAGCACTGAGCACACAAACGCGCCCTTTTAGCAATCATGGCTGCCGCGGGTTCCTCCCTCTGCGCCGCTCGGGTTTGCTGCCCCTGCCTCAGCGTCAGCCATGAAGCACCGCTTGGTCCACCTTCCCAAGCCTCTGCATTGCACCTGCCACACTGCAGCTTCCTTTCCATCCCAGTTGGATCGCCCGTGAAGCATCCGGGTGCTTTCTTGTTCATCTGCATTGCCCACGTCCTCGCCCCAAAGCCCCAAGCGCTGCCTCCCTCTAGCCCTAAGCTGCTCCTTCTCACCTGCTGCACTCTTGGGAGATGTCTGGTTTGGTCCATCGGCACAGCTTTCCCGATGAGGTCCTCTGAGGAAGCCAGCTGAGCCCCGGGCAGCCCTTGAGCTCTTTGCCAGGCACTATGCAGGAACACCTGTTAGTGGAAGTCACCTGTTCCAAGCGGTTTCAGGTAGACACGTTCAGAACACGGATAGGCTTCTTCTGCAGACAAGGGCCCAAACCATCACCGTGCCTCTCCCAGAGGGGGCCACCCAGCTGTTGTGGGGTCTGTGGGGCTAGAGGAGAGGTGTTCCAGGACCCCTGAAAGGCCACAGGCCGGGACAGGATGCCATGATAACTATTTGCCCTTAAGAGGGAGCTGCTGGTTCCTCCGTTCGCGAGCGCGGGAACAAGCCTCGACCCAACACATGGGAAGTTCTGGAGTGCAAAATTTCACACACGTGCTGAGCCAAGGGCCCGACCACACTGCTGTCCTTGTACGGGCAAATGGAAAAATAATTATGATGTGGGAATGATGTAGAACTTCATGGCTATTCTTGTTCCGTGGTTTCAGTTATTCGTGAAGTTAAAGATAAAATTTGACATCCTGTGCTATTTACGACCTTTGATGTGAATTCAGTGCCATAGGTGTCTGTGTCGTGTTGAGCAGCGGGGCGGGGTGCTAGCAGAGCTGCGAACGCTCTGGAAAAGAAGCAAGCGCTGAGCTGACGCGTGGCCAGCGAGGGCCGAGACCAGAGGGGCCCGCCGCCTCCGGCGCTCACAGGGCTCCCCCCCCCGCTTCCCCCTCTAGGATCCTGCTGACGGTGGTGGTGATCTTCCGCATCCTGATCGTGGCCATCGTGGGGGAGACGGTGTACGAGGACGAGCAGAGCATGTTCATGTGCAACACGCTGCAGCCGGGGTGCAACCAGGCCTGCTACGACAAGGCCTTCCCCATCTCGCACATCCGCTACTGGGTCTTCCAGATCATCCTGGTGTGCACGCCCAGCCTCTGCTTCATCACCTACTCCGTGCACCAGTCGGCCAAGCAGCGCGACCGGCGGTACTCCTTCCTCTACCCGCTGCTGGAGAAGGACTGCGCCCGCGACGGCAGGAAGGTGAAGAACGTCAACGGCATCTTGGTGCAGAACCCGGACGGCTCCTCCAAGGAGGAGCCGGACTGCCTGGAGGTGAAGGAGATCCCCAGCACCCCCCCGCGCCCCCCCAAGAGCTCCAAGGTCAAGCGCCAGGAGGGCATCTCCCGCTTCTACATCATTCAGGTCAGTCCGTGGCAACGGGATCGAGAGACGGGGCGAGGCAGCCAGGGCATGTCCTCTGCACCCAGAGGCTCCAGCCGTCAGGAAGCAGGCCAGAGCCCCCTGCGATCGAGGGGCTGGAGGGACCACGGCTGGGCGGTTTGGCTTAGAAAAGGGCCGAGGAAGGGGGGGGGTGTTTTGAATGAGGCATGGGGTGGAGGAAGTAGCGGGGAGACTTTTTTCTCCCTCTCCCATAATATGGGAACCAAAAGGGGTCACCCCATGAAGACCCAGGACAGATGAAGGGAAGGACTTCTTCACACCTGCAGGGAGAGCGAGCGAGCTGGGAGGCATCAACCGTCCCAGAACATTGGCATGGAATTAGGTACAGAGGGTAGGAGCCAGCACCTCCGGAAGTCTCGGTGCTTGTCAACCAAGTTTCTAGCCCTTATGGATGCATGAGCAAGGACTTGTTGACATCTCAGCTGTGCGGCGAGCAGAACAGGTAGTCATTGGGTGGGGGGCACAGGACCTCCATCCCTTCTCCCAGACTCACACCAACGCGTGTGAAATAAGCCGAAATCTACAGCACGTTTTCTGCATCGGTGCAGTCGATCGGGGCTGCAGAGCAGAATGCTGGTGGGTCCCCGAACATCGACTCACCCCTTGCCCCCATGGCATGCAGGATCCTGCCCGAGAGCCACGTGGCGCTCCCTTCCCAGCAGCCTTTGCGAGAGAAAGAGCACCGGGGTCTGGCTGCGGCACGGCGACCGTCTGTTTCTCTAGATTTACAGGGCGAGGTGCGGTGGTGGCACTGCGGGCACAAGCTGCGCGGAGGCCGGGGGCAGCTCCCCTGCTGCAAGTCTGCTGGGCTTGCCTCCAGCAGCTCCGGCGGCCCCCCGCTTTCGGTCCTTATGCTGGCCGGGCACAGAGAAAGGCCAGTGATCAGCACGTCATGAGCCGCCCAGGGAGCATTGGCTACTGGGCTGTGAAGAAGAGGTGCCGGCGGGGGGCAAGGCGGGGCGGGGAGGGCCATCGAGCGCACGCATGAGCACAGCGCCTGGCCTGATGCTGGAGAGCCGGGAAGTCCAAGTCAGGGCTGAAGGCGCACAGCCGGCAAGGGCAGGGGCTTCCGAGGCAGCCAGGAGGGAAGCGGAGGTCCCGCATCAGGACCCGACATCCGGTCAAGCACACCGCTGAACGGGAACTGTGTGGGCTTGACCTAAAGAGGACATCCTCAGCTCGGAGCTCTGCGCTAGCACGCTGCTGAGGAGCATCTTGGTGTCCCTCCAGTGGGATGTTCGCTCAGGGCCGCAGCAGCTCGTTTGGAGCGCTCCCAGCCTTACCTTGGTACGAGACATTGGGCCTTCCGTGCACAAAGCTTGTGTTCTGCTGGCTGGCCAGGCAGCCGCCAAGGCGGCCCTGCCGGGAATGGCTCAAGCGCCAGAGGAGCGGTCTTCCCCGATGTCCATACCGACTCGGTCCCGAGGTCATGGCAGGCAGCAGGGCCGCCGCCAGAGCCTAACCCTCTTCCCCTGCTTCAGGTGGTTTTCCGCAATGCCTTGGAGATTGGCTTCCTGGCAGGACAGTACTTCCTGTACGGGTTCAACGTGCCGGCCATCTTCGAATGTGACCGCTACCCGTGCGTCAAGGAGGTGGAGTGCTACGTGTCCCGGCCCACCGAGAAGACGGTCTTTCTGGTCTTCATGTTCGCGGTGAGCGGGATCTGCGTCGTCCTCAACCTGGCCGAGCTCAACCACCTTGGCTGGCGCAAGATCAAGACGGCCATCCGGGGGGTGCAGGCCAGGCGGAAATCTATCTGCGAGGTACGCAAGAAGGACCTCTCCTCGCTGGCTCAAGTGCCTACGCTCGGACGGACACAGTCGAGCGAGTCTGCCTACGTGTGACGGGTGCCCAGCCCTGCGGGAAAGCGAGCCGCGGCGGCTCTGCCGGTGCCGGTGCGAAAACCAGACACAAACCGATTGATGTAACCACAATACCTCCCAGGCTAATGATGCAATATTCCGCGGGTGCTTTCCAGACGCCTTCCTGTTTCAGGGAAAGGGGCCACACGTTTGCGTTAAGGGCTGCTTGGAGAAATCCAGCCCCTCAGGAGCAAGGCAGTGGGAGCAGGGGGGCCGGGGCCCCTTCCCCTCCTCTCGCTTCCTGCTTCGAAGGAACACTTTTCTCTACACACAACTATGGTGCAAGCAAAACCGTGGGGTTCGTGGAAACTGGTGCCTCCGACTCCTTTTTATGGACCGGGTGATGCAAATGCAGGGCGGTGGAGTGGCTTGTTGCAGGGAGGGTCTTGCCCCCCCCCCCGCTTTCTTTCAGAAAGCCAGCAGAGGGGGAGGGGAGGGGGAATGAGCGGAGGGTCTTCCTGTGTTCTTTTGCACGACTGGCACCCCTCTCTGCTGCCTGCCGTGATGTAAATACTTAACAAGCAAATGTGGTTTTTAAAAAAAACAAAAAAACAAAAAAAATTAAACAGTATGGTATGCAATAAACAAACCAACGAAAGACCAGTGTTTCCTTTGCGTTCCTGGTGCCCAACTTCACTCCTTGCTGGGGGACATGACAAAGGACCAGCTTTGGCTGCTGGATGCATTGAAATTTTTCCAAAAGCAGAAGCTGCTGAAGGCAGGCAGGAGCAGATCAGCCCTTTGCCATTTTAAAAATAGGCCTGTGCCTTCAACAGCCGCTTCACGTGTGGAAGTAAAAGCAGGTGGGAAAAACACAACCAGGTAAGCGCTGTCGCACGTCAGGCCCAAAGACCAACACTGAGCGCTGCCTCCCCCAGCCTGCAACCCTCCGGACGAGTTGGACTACAACTCCCATAAGCTCTTGTTGGGGGAACGGGAGCCCAGGGGTCCCGACCCACAGCTCCTCCCTCCATCCAGCCTGCCCGTGTCCTTTCCATTGCCGCTCCTCCCGCCCTGGAGCCTTGGGGTCTCCCGCCCGGCCGGCCCCAGCCCAGGATGGGGGGAAGGCCAGCTCCTGGCCCCGGAGTTGCCACCGGCCCTGCAAGCCCTTCTCGCTGCACACGCCCCTCCCGCCACTGTCAGCTGCAGCAGCCCTTCATCCTTTAATCTGTCCTGTAATAGGTCTAAACCCGGAGAAGGGGGTGAGCCGGGCACCATCTGGCCCACGCTGCAGCAGGGGATGGGGCGGCCCAAGAGCCCTGGGCGCCAAAGGCCCATCAGGCAATCCCGGAACCCCGCCGGCCGGCCGGCCAGGAGCCCTTCCTGCCTTGCAGGGAGAGGGAGGAGGGAGAGCCCGTGGGTCCCCCCACCCCCCGAGGGCCCCCACCGCCCAGCCTCCTGTGCTAATCCTCCCCCTCCCCTCAGCGGCTCCTGGGCAGCCCCTCCACACACAGCCCCTTTGCCCCCTGCAGCGCGCTCAGCCCTGAGCCCCCGCTAAGCTAAGCTCCTTTGATGGCTGGCCAGAGCAGCAAAGGCATCCAGACCGGGAGGCCAGGCGCTCAGTCTCGAGCCGGCTGGGTGTGGGCTGCGAGGAGGGGCGAGGAGGGCCTCGGCACGGGGGCGGGGGGGTGCCCAGGCTCCAGCCGGCCCCAATTCCGCTGCCCCGTGAGCAACAAGGCCACTCCCCGCACCGCGCTGCGGTGCCCCCCCCCCCCCCGTTTCGGTTTCTGCTCCCGGCCGTCAGGTGGGAGGCAGCCGAGCCCGCCGCACGCCACGGCGCTTGCTTAACCCGCCCCCGTTCCCGGGGCTCTCTGCTGCAGCCCCCTCTGGCAAGGCCCATGGGCCGGGCGCTGCCGTGCCTTGGGTGCCCCTCCGACATCGCCCACCGCCTGCAGGAGAAGCTACATGGGGTGCTGCACGAACCACGAAGCTTCGACCTCAGTGCTTGCTTTAATCTTCCCCAGAGACCCTGCGCTTTGCTCTCCCTGCTGCTCTTCCGCTCCCTGCTTCACCCCTGCCCGCCTGGGGCAGCCCCAGCAGGACATTTGCCTGCTGGGAAGCCAGTGCCGCGGCGCGTCGGAGTGTCTGGCCGGGACTGGGGCCGGGCTCAGCCTTGGGCCCGTCAAGGATTCTCAGCCGAGCCCACTTGGCCGAGTTGCGGAGTGGATACAATGGAGGAGGAACCTGGATTCCTTGGCAGAAAGGTGGACCATCGTGGTACCCGTGCCAGGAATACAGAACGATGGCAAGTGTCCACTCGCCCGTCGGACACCATGGCACCAGTGGTGAGGGTGCCCTGCTGGTGCCAGAGGGGAAACATCGGCCGGGGCAGTTCTGCCCTTCTTGCCCCCGGCGCCCACCTTCAAACCAGCCTCCAGGGAAAGAGCCCGCGGGAAGCAGAGCATCCAGTCTCTTCTCCGGGGCCCCGCCTGGCCTGCTCATTGACACCAAGGTGAGAGCTTATTCGTACGGATGCCTCTATTAATAGCAGCCCGGGCCCCTCCAGGCCGAAACAGCTGCTGACAGGCCGCCTCTTCCCGCTGCCGCTGGGAGGAGAGGACGACACAGGCTCCGAGGTGGGTGGGCGGACGGTGGCAGACCCACGGCACGTGGGTGGCCGGCTTCAAAAGCCAGCCCTGCTCCTGCCCCTTCAGGAGTGGCGCAGGAAGCGCCAGCATGCCAGAAACGGCCCCGGCCCTTCATAGGCTGATGGATTTCTGCTTGTGGATCAGCCGATGGTGAACGGACTGGAGCAGAGCCCACTGGAAGTCGGTCGGTCGGTCGGGTGGGCGGGCAGCCACAGGAGGGCCCCTGCTGCCAGGCTCTGCTCCACAAGGCCTTCTTCCGCCCAAGCCACTGCTGCACAGCTGCCCAATCCCCATGTGCCTGCACTGACCCTCCGGGGCAGGAGATCAGTCCAGACATGCGTGCTAAGTGCAGAACGTGAGGTTTCCTTGCAAGCACCTTTCCAGTGCCTTGGCACACGTAAGAGCACACACACCACACACCCGCCGACGCAGACACCAGAGGCAGAGCAAACTGGTCCACAGCACGGTCCGTCACCCTCAGGCGGCAGAACCCGAGCGGGCCACCACAAGGCAGAGCCCGACTTCCCAGAGATCCGGGTGGCATGTCCACAGTCCTTGCCCCAAGTCCCCTCGCACACAGAACACCAGCCAGCCAGAGTTCCAACCAGCAATCCCCACGGCATCGCCCCTCTCCCCCCACACTCCTTCCATCATGCCCAGGCTCTACACTGCTCCAGGAACCTATTTTTGCGAGTGGTGAGGCGGCCACAGAAATGCTTTGCGTAAAGAAACGGCCAGCCCGTTTCTCCTGCGCTCCGTTCTGCTGCAGCAGAGGCGGAATCCAGCCAAGCTTCCCCAGAGCGCGCCAGGGCAGCCCAGAGCAGGGGGCTGCCCCCTGCTCTTCTCCGGGGAAGCAGACGCCGGAACTGGTGGAGCCGATGTGTCATGCCCCCCACTTCCACACCCTCTCTTCAAGGGAGGAGGGGGAGCTGCGGGGGCTGCCACTATTCTAAGCGAGGGAATGCTGCTATTTTTATACCCAAATGCTGAAGGGGGGGAGCCGGCTCCAGCCCTTGACAACAAAACTGCATTATTCAGTGAGAATCCTGCATGACAGTCACAATGTGCCATTGAACTAGCGGCACAGCTGTGCCCCCGCCCCAGATGGGAGGGGACTGCTCTGCCAGCAGAAGGGGCAGCCAAAAGGAGGGCAGGCAGACCCAGGAGCTGGGTGGGCAGGAGCTTTCCTCACCCCGCTGCTTTTCCCCGTCGCACGAGATGCAGGGCAGAGGGTGGGGGCCAGCTTGTCGCAGGCTGCATGCACATCTGGGGAAGAGAAGGCAGACAGCCCCCCCCCCCCCGATTCCTTCCTTCCAGACAATCCTGAACTCCTTGCAGGAAACGTCCATTCGAGGATGAGCTGCTGGTTGAGGTGGCGAGAGAGCGCGCGCTCCCTGCCCCAGGAGGCCAGCACCAAGCCGTCACATTCCCGTTCCGACAGCAGCCCCAGGAGCGTGCGCCGAGGGAGGGCCGCGCGATTGAGACGAACAGCAGGCGCCCCATGCAGCCCCTCCAGCCAAGCCTCCACCAAGGGCCAGGAAGGCTGCCCTCTCGCTGGGCACGGGGCGGCCACGTCCCTCCGCTGCTCCCCTGCACAGACCCACCGTGGGCACCCCTCACCCGCGGGAGGCAGAATGGAAGCTCCTGCAGAGACACCGGGGGGGGGGGGGGACCTGATCTGAAGACAAAATCCCTTTCTAACTTCATAAACATAGAAAGGGGGCTCACGTCACACAGCCTTGCCCTGCTCTGGTGCCTTCCAGGTCTGCCTCCGATGCACCCAGTGTTTCTGACCACTGGCCACACCGGCTGGGGCTGAACAGACTGAAATCAATACCTGGTGAGCACCTGGCTGGGGAAGCAGGGCTTGAAGTGTGCCAAGCGTGTGCCACGACCCCAACCTCTAGAGGAAAAGAGCATGCTCAGACCCTCAGAGTCATCTGAGAACAGCGAAGCGGGGAGAAGTGGCTTCTTTTCCTGAGCGGGAGCTTTTTCTATTTTGCGCTGTGCGCATTATCAGAGAAGACACCTGGCAGCTCAGGGGGAGCAGGTGTGCCGCAGAGCGCTGCAGGGCAGTAGGTCACGGGTGACGCCGAGGTGCCCGATTCTATTAGCAAGAACTAGGTCACCGGTGCACTTGGAAAGGGAGATGCCTGCAGGTGGACCCCACACCTGGGCAGAAAGACATCTGGGACCGATGTGCGAACATCTGGAAGGAGGGACTGGGAGGGAAGAGCGGAGGCACGGGGGAGGGAGCGAGGAAAGCGTGGCAGACGTCGCGTGGCCAAGGGCATGAAATCCCAACGGTGCCTCCTCGCTCGCAAACAAACCGACAGGCAGGCGGTTCGACCAACGGCCACCTCTGCTGGCGGCTGGCAAAATATGAAGCAGCTGACTGCCTTCCACCACAGCGGCAACCCACATTTTTACAACATAAATCAAGGGCTGAAAACAACATTGAAAATCCACGAAGCGGCCAAAAACACGAAGGCTTTCCCTGAGCCCGGCTGCATCCCGACAGCAGGTGGAGACGGGAGACACCAAGATGGGAGCTCAGCTCCAGATGCTGACAAGCCAAGGAGGATGGCAAGAGAGCAGTGAAGATGCTCAAGGCTCCAGAAGGCAAATCCTTGAGCTTCTCCTTGTAGGAAGTTGGGGGTGTTTTTAATCTTTCTTCTAGGCTGGAGGGGACATGCTGGCTGGAAGTTTTACTATCTGAAAGCATGTTGCAGGGGGGAATGAGCAGAAGGACTTAAGGTTTAACGTCAAGATAAAGCTTTCTAGTAAGTCAGTGCTGGCAGAAAACACATGCAGCCGAGTGGGATGGCATTTACCATTCTTGTGGTAAGACCTGGCAGAGCCCTCTGCATGCCCCACGCTTCCAGGGCAGGGGGAGACGCCCCCTTTCTACTGGTTTGAGTGGGATGGTGTGTGAGTTTGACGTCCGCTTAGCTGGCGGAAGCACGGCCGAGGGAAAAGCGGGATCCAAGCAGGAGGCAGAGCACAAGATCCGTGTGGCTTGAGATCCGCCCAACACCAAGACAGCGTGACTCCGAATAGGAAGGACCCTGTGCAGCTGCCACGGCTTCGTAACCATCACTGGGCCTCTGCTCCAGGAAATGCCTGGGAAAACACTGGAAACAAAAGAGCCAGTGGTGGTGTCCACGAAGGGTTTGCAGAGGTGACGTGAACGGACTTTTTCACCCATTCACTGAGTAGAGGAAGACTCGTTATACGACGCAAGCAAAGGGATGCTAATTTGTATGGCGAGGACAAGATACATGACCATCACAGGTTGTTCTTTGGATGGGTGAGAAAACCCGCCCCTCAGAACACCCACTGGTCATGCTCGTGACCCACTGAAACTCCTTCGCCCCAAGAACAAAGGAAGCCGGGTGGTATGTAACTTCCTGAGGAGAGGGAAAAAGGTGCGGACTGGTGTGGTTGTCAAGAGTTTTAATGAAACCCGAGGGGACAGGATGAGCTCCGGGGATGCGCGGGTGCAATCCGTGCTCTACAACCTGCAGAGAGAGGAGGGAGGGGAGGAGGAAGAGAACAGAGAGCAGCCGTGAATTGGGAGGAGATTGAATAAAACCAAAGGGGTGTGAGCGGAAGCACTGAGGTGGGCCGTCCCCAGGAAGAATGGCCGCCCGGCCAGAAAGCAAGAGCGGGATCTCGTCCCAGGAGAACGCCACACCGTCTGGCCTGAGCCAAAAAGAAGGTGCTGCATCAGGAAAACGGCAGCAGCCGGGGAAGCCAGCCTGGCTGGAACAGTCACGCCGGGGAGCAGCAGTGCCTGGGAGGCTTTTTGCCCCCGACCCTTGCGAGAGCAAACGCTGCGGCAACTGCCAAATGGCTTCGGGGGCGCAGGACAGGACAGCTGAGCCTGGCTTACGGCCAGAAAACCAGGGCTGCCGGGCTTCCACACCTCTTGCTCGAGAAGAGCAGCTTGGCCCAGCGGGGTCTCGGGGCCTGCCAGGAACTCTGGGCATCAGAACTAGAGCAGCCTGGTGGGTCTCAGGAAGCTGCCTGCCACACACACCTGTACAGGAGCCCGGGCTGGTCCACGGCACCCCAGCCTCGAGGCGGGCTGGGGACCCCTCCAGATGGAGGGCCAAACTCCATCTCAGAGACTCTCTCGGGGGCCGCACTCCAGAAGGGGAGGGCAAAAGGGACAGACCCAGGGCGCTGGGACAGTGCTTCTCCCTGAGGGCACACTCCTCAGTATGTTTAGCAGAAGAAACGCCCTACAGTTCCCAGCATTCCCTGTATAAACACGCATGGGATTCTGCTTTAAGCTCAGGAGACGCATTACAACTGTTGAGAACGGAGGAGGAGCCGAGGAGCCATCAGTGGGGGCGGGAAGGGAAGGGGGCCTCGCATGCTCTCTCACCCCCCAGCGCCGGTCTTTGCTCGAGACTGAGGCTTCTCGCCCTTGGTCAGAGCTGCAAGCCTCACGCCGGCGGAGTGCCCACTCGCACCGAGCAAGTCACGCTGGAGCGACGGAGTAGCGCACTTACGTGATCTCCCGGAAGGCACGCTTTTCGACATACTTCAGGCGGTATTTCCTCTTGAACCTGGCAGAGAGAGTGGCTTTAGAGATGCGCACACCTGCGGGCACTTCTCCCACCCAGAAGCCAAAAAGGTGCCCTGAAAAACCGCAACTGGGCACAGCGCTGGGAGCGCCCCACGCCCGACTCGCTTGCAGTTCTACAGTCTCCCGATTCTACAGTCCCAGAGTGCTGCATCTTTCAAACCGGGTGACTCGCCACTGCGCGTCTGAACTACCTCCATTACATAGTAACACCGCACTCTGCCTGCTGAGAACGATGTCCAGTGCCCCGCAGCTTGGAATGGCGCCCCCGCAGGCAGAAGCCATCAAGGGGCGCTGCTGCCAGGCAAGCCAATCCCCAAGGGTCTCTCCCAGCCACCCCCAACCCGGTGCCCAACGGATGGTTTGCATTCCCAACCACTGCCCATGCTGCATGAGGCCGATGACGACGGAATTCCAAAACATCTGGAAGGCACCGCGTTGTGGAAAGCCGATCTAAATCAGATACCGTATTTCTAGAACTTTTCAGCAATGTTTCTGGGTGTGGCTTGCAATTCTGGATAGAAAAAGGCACACGCCAAGCAGAGTCTGTGCAAGGCCAGCTTTAAGAACTTCATTCAAGTTCAAGAACCACTCTTCTGCAGGAATGTGGGCCCAGCTTAGGCTGGGGGCTCCTTCCCGTTCCATTCACACATGCACATATTCAGGCATGCGCAACCATAACAGAGGCTGGAGGGAGCGTAGGTGTCCTGGGAAAACAGACACTGCAAACAGACCACACGGAAAGCCCCAGAGGAAGAGGGAGGGGGCAACCCGTAGCCTGGGACCCTAGTGCAGCAAAACCTGAGCCCAGGCATAAACGGTGGCGTGAGAGAAATGCTCATCTGCTGGGACAAGGCCCCCTGACGAGCCAGCGCCGGGGGGGGGGGGGCCTGACCCGCGCGTCCCTTGCAGCCGGTCGCTCATCCAGAGCGATCAGCAGCGACACGCCTCCCGCTGCCTCCCTGAGGAAGACGCGGCGCCTCGGCTGCCGGAGCCGGGGCATCCGCTCTGGCCTCGCCTGCAAGCCGCCGCCGCCACTCACTTTGCACGCTCCCGGGGCTCTATGAGGTTGCGCTTCTGCAGGCTCTTGAACCGGTCCCTCAGGATGCTGCCCTCTGGCTGGAGAAAGAAGCAACACAGGCAAGGAAAACCTGTTAAGCACCAGGACAGCTCTGCCTTCTTTAAAACATCCAGTTTATTGAACCTGAAAGCTTCTAATTATTATTACTGTGCTCCGTTTACAGCCCACCCTTCCTCCCCTTGCAAGGAGCTCAAGGTGGCGTCCAAGCGTCTACTCCTCTCCGTTTCTGACCTCACAACAACCCTGCCAGGGAGGCCAGGAAGAGAGTCAGTAATGGGCCCCGAGTCACCCAGGGCACTTCACGGCCAAGCGGGGACCGGAACCTGGGTCTTCCCAGTCCCACACTCCAACCCGGCTGACCCTCTGCAGCACAAGCATCCGCTGCCGTGCCAGGCGCCATTTTTCTCAACGTGCGCCACGAGATTTCTGCCCGATCTTCGGTCAGGAGGCTGGCAGTCACCGCCCTGCCTTGCAACACGGGTAAAAAAAGAACACGGAGCCCCCCCTTCTTCGCACGGACACCTCCAAAGAGACTGCGAAGCGTGTGCGACGCAGCTCTTCACACCATTGCAACTCCTCACCGACACCCCACAGGTGTCTTCCCGCTTGCTGACTCACAGGAGCATCTGAGGCTGTGGAGGGGAGGTGTCAGGAGACGCAGCGGTGTGGGGAGCGTGGCGGTCGGGAAGGCCCCACCGCAAAGCCCACGCGGCCACACTGCTTGCCGGCCGGGGTCGCAGAAGCGCAACTGCACGGCCACTGGACCGTCATGGGACTGCCAGAGGGCGTCCAGTCCAAAGCCCCACAACTGGGTGAAACAGAGCAGGACCGGGCTGCTGTGCTGAGGGCCAGGACAGGAACCTCCCCACGGAAGGGGGAACACAGGTGCAAGCAAGTTGCTTGCTTGCGCAAAGGCCACCTGGCCGCGGGGCCTGGCAAGGCGCAGCTATGCCAGGCCTCTGCCCCCCTTTCTCTCGGTGGCTGCAGCCCAGGGAAGCGGGGCCATGCCCCAAGAGTGCCCGGAGCAGGAGCCCCAGTAATGCTGCCAACAGGCCCCTGCTCCAACACCCCCATGACCGCCTTCTGTGGGCCGAGAGAGGGCTCCTCGGCACCTGACCACCACAATCGTCCCTAGAGCAAGGCATGGAAGCTGCCTCCTTTGCCTACAAGAGGAGCCGGCAGCTGCACCGGAGCTTCACAGCAGCAGAGGGTGGGAAGCTGGTCCTGTGCAGGGGAGAGGGAAGCCCCGAGTGCCACACGCCCCCGGGTTCACCGGGCGCAAGAGGCTTTGGGAAGGATGGGGAGCCGCGCACATGATGCAGGTAGCCAAGAACAACGGAGGCTCCCAGCCAGCGCCACCCAGGTGAGTCCTCCTTTGGTACCCAGAAACAGGGAAGCGTCCAGATGGAAAACGGGGTGGGAGGTTTCTAGCTGGGTGCCTCAGCTCCCCGGTCCTTGACCTGCTCGGCCGGGCCAGGGAGCCCCTGGGGAACCTTCACATTCCCAGCAGACTCTGCTGCAAATTCTCCGAGCGCAAGGATGGGTCTCATCATCGGCCACCACCGGGCAGGAGTGCCACAGGTGCAGCGGGCCTCCCACCCGTCGAGCTGCAGGGACGCCTCGCGGCCCCCCCCCCTTGTCCGACAGGCGCACGGGGCCGCTGCCGCTCTCATCCCGCTCAGTCTCGCCCAGCGGCAAGCGGAATGGGCCTCGCACGGAATCACAGCAGGGCTGAAGGGGCCTGAGGGCCACCCGGTCCCACCATCCTGTTCGGCTGGCTGTCCAGTTGCGCCTTGAAGGCCTCCAGCGTGGGAGAGCCCACAACCTCCTGGGTAATGGGTTCCAGTGCCGTACTGCTCTAGCAGTCTAGAAAGTCTTCCTGCGAGCTAGCCAGAGTCTGGCTGCCTGTAACTTGAGCCCATTACTCCCCGTCCCGCACTCTGGGACGATCGAGAAGGGACTGTGCCCCTCCTCTGTGACACCCGTCCGTCCTCTCTCTCCTCAGGCTCCTCTCTCAGGTTCTCTGAACATGCCCAGGTCTCCCAGGCTCTCCTCATGGGGCTTTGTCGGCAGGCCCTGGATTGTCCCTTTCGCCCTCCTCTGAGCCCTTTCCAGCTTGTCTGCACCTTTCCTGAACTGGGGTGCCCAGAACTGGACGCAGCACGCCGGACGAGGCCGAGCCAGTGCCGAGCCAAGGGGAACTAGCCCTTCACGGGATCTGGAAGTGACACTTCTATAAGCAGCCTAAAACAGCATGTGCCCTTTCTGCTGCCGCATCACACAGGTGGCTCAATAAACATGGGGGGGGGGGCAGGGAGTGGCCCAAGCAGAGCCTGCCCTTCCAATGAAGGTGGTAGTTACTCCTGCCCGCACAGCCACAAGGTGGGGGAGGTGCGCCCCCCTCACCTTCAGCGTCCGCAGAGACTCTGCCAGCTCGGTACTCAACTGCACGTCCAGGTCAGGATCTTCGTACCTGCCACAAAAGGAAGCAGAAGGGCCTGCTGAAGGGCACGGGGCTTAAAAGGGACCCCATTCTGGACTCCCCCCGGGACCTAACTACATCGGTGGGCGTGTCCCCACCAAGCCCCCCCCCCCATCT